TCAGATTTAAGATCAGCGTTCGAAACTACCTACGTCGGTATACATCTTATCTTAAATGGCCACTGCGACTTGGTATCCTTTCCTGGTAAGAGAGAAGCTGGAGCTCGGCGATCTAGTTCTGTACACATTTGTTTTCACTTGTTGATTTCATCACTATTTCATCACGTATTTGAGTATTTTTTTTTCATGGTACATATTCTGGAGCATTTTTGGGATCTCAAGTAATACGCAGACGTTCAAGACACATAATGTAGTTTCATATTAGCGTTTGAAGGAAAGTCACGATACTTGGTAGTGTCCAGTTGAGTGGCATGCTGGAGGTGGCGGTTTTTCTCCCTAAATTTCGACGGCATGCGACAGTGGCCTCGTGGCGGCCTCCGTACCTTTCATTGGGAATGCAAACCTTTCCTTTCGTAGCGCATGCAACGAGCGCGTTTCCATTTAGGAGTACCCTCATCCATGCTGAATGATGTGTGCTGGGGAATGCTGCTGTTCAAGTATTTTGTCCAAAAAAATCATCAATGGCAAAGTTCCTTCTTCTAGTTTACCCCACTTGTCGTATTGTATCTTTTTTTGGGTTCTATTTATTTCCAAAGTAGCACCTAATATTATTTCTCTCGACTCCAGACTCGAAACGCTAGTAGCCAACTGCTTCTTTTGGAGCTGATTGGCATGGTGCTCATAGCCAAAAGAATCATATTTTCAGCGGAAGAAAACCAAGAGTGAAATCTTTGCACATCAGTTCTTAGTCTGCTGGAACAATATTCTTTACCTAAAGTTCCTTCACTATTCAGGCAAATGAGCATTTTTAAACTTTAGCTCAGCTTTAGTTGAGAGAGATCCTCGCAGAAAAAATACCTTTACCATCCCACGGCTACATGAAGAAGGAGTCATCTTTTATTGGGCGCACATCTATCTGTCTAGGCTTCCGATCTGTTGCAACGCTCCCAATATTGATTTGGGGATGAAATATGCCCGTCATTCTAGTTGCGACTTCAAAAAACCTTTAGATCCCGAATGGTCTGGGGATTATAGTCTTCTATTTGCTCTTCATGTGAATTACGCGCGGCTCATGCAATCTATCTCTAAAACTGGCAGTCTGGGAAACATGACCGAGAAATGGCTGTTGGAGTGGCTGCTTTTCGTAAATCTCCTAAGGGCTTTCCGGATTTTGACGAAGATTTTGGCTCCTTCAATACTTAAAACTTCTGCATGGCTGTATTGAAATTGGTCTAAACCTAACTCTTTAAATATGGTTATGTGGTTTGCCTAAGCGCTTGACTCACGATATTATTGAGATACTTTTCTTTTTATTGGGATGCAGAGAAGGGTACTGTTGTTGGGGAATAGTGAATCGGGCTGTGATTCTGAGGACGGTGTACAATGGTGTTCAGCGCGTTCCATGTTCAATCACAGATGAGGGCGACAAGATACACACACAAAATTTAACGCTTATCTAGAATGACGAAAATAGATCTCTTCGACTTTATGACGGCGGAAATGGTCAGGGATCAAGGATGGGCAGGTTGGTACCTGGAAATCCTGTTCTTCGACGAGAGAGAGCAGAATTTGGAAGGGAGCTAGATCTTGATCCTATGAGAGCACTCCAGCAGTTTGGAGGAGAAATGAACCCAAAGATCGCTCAAGGAAGTTTAGAAGGTCGCGGAGTTTTACGACTGCTAGTAAAATGGTGTTATCATTGCATCTAGAAGCAAAGCGACCCTAATGAGACCCGAAAACACAAATTTCGTTATGCTGCTCGCACATCGTCAATAAGTGTGTGAAAGGTAAGCAAATGAGTAGGACGGTAGAGAAACGAAGCATGTAAAAAATATTCTAAACAAATAAATTTAAACGATTTCTCGAATTGTGACAGTGAATATGTGATGTAATATGAAGTGGAGTAAATTATTCACTCACTTATCTTCAAGTAAACTTCACAGTAAGACGAAAGCGAAGAGCATTTCTGGTGCTCGCTGTTAAGGGCTCAGTTCACGATAATTTTGGGTAATCCAGATTATGACGAAAATTGGAAGACAAGATGGAAAATAGTGCGATGGAAGAGAAAGAACTGCGTGATTCAGTGCTTTTGAAGTGAAAAAAGGCTTTGAAATTCGTTAAAAAGGGCGCTGGATGATGAAAATGAAAAATGAAGAAGAATGGGGCGTTTGGACGAGCTATACAATGTGTGTCATTGCAAAGATGTGGGTCCTGGTGCGAATAGCCGACTACAGTAAGCAAAAATTCATTCTATCATAAGCATAAGCTGACAAAAAAACCCGGTGAGAATGTATATGGGAGTGCCACCGCCCTTCTGTGCTCTGCGTCCATGACACCAGGTGACAGAGCACGAAGATGGTTTCCAGCCTCGCAGGTCTCTTAGTAGTGATAGTGATTTTTTAATGTTAGCTCCAATCAGGCCTACCTGAACAAACCTGTGGTCTCTAACCTTCTCATACGACGACTCTTAACGATTCATTGGGTAACTGTTCTCATTCTCTGTGATGTGATGATTCTCTGTGGTAGGATATTTCATTGTTGTCATTTCGTTTATATAGTTAATCCATAATAAAACCCATTCAAGTGAGAATGTCCCAACACACTAGCAAGGAAAGCTTTTGAAGGTTCTTGCATGAAGCTATTTTTTCTAATGGGTGAAAACTTACGGTAAAATATGCTTTCTCACAACATTCAGTACCGTTTGATAATAAGGGAGCTCATTTTTGTCTGTATAGGGATATCTGCGCGGAGCGAGGAGAGAACGGGGCCGAATTTGAGGCGCTACCAAAGCGTTTATTATTGGATTACTTATCAGCCCAATTTTCCTTTCTTCCTTTTTCTGTTAGAGTAGTTGGAAGACTCATGCTTCACTGCGATCATAGCTGAACAACTACTCACGCTTAGGAGTTCAGACCTTTAGGATGATTTCGACTAGGTAAAATGTCCTACTGAGTGCAATCGCTACGCCGACTTTCCTCAGCGCCCTTTGTGACTAAAATATCAAAGTTTAGAAGAGAAACCTCATTTATTATTAGCATCTTCGTTAATATTTCAGGCAATCTCTATGCTTTATCAACTACCAATTTGTTTGTGAACATTTTCATCAGACTGATTAGGTTTACTCATTTGAATTAAATCACAAAGATCGCACGCTACCGGGCAACTGGCCTTCTTGATACGATCCGGGAAATCCATCTTGCAAAATCCTTCGCGAGCAAGAGACTTGCAACTGAAAAACTTTTTCACTGTTTTTTGAGAAACATATTGAATTCATTCTAAACAACATCTTACTTCGGCTTGTCCACACACTTGTGTAGCCTCGGTGGCTTCTGTTGATTCGGCAGGTGCCGCTTCATCAGATGACTCATCATTTGCTTCATCAGAAGGTTTATCAGTCATTTCATCGGGAAGCTCATCGCCTGCTTCTTCGAAAACGTCACTGTCTGCTTCATATAAATTTTCATCATCCTCTTCAGCGGAAGAAGCACCACGGAAGACGGGTTTCTGGGCGTCAGGTGAAAGATCGTCGATATTAACCTTTGTGAGATCCAATGACTTCCCACTGACAGTGACAGCAAGGAGGAGGACGAATAGAAACATCATTCTGAACACTTGAGTTATAAAAGAAGGGAGTTGAGAGATTTATAGTGTTGAGAGCACCCCAGGAAGAGATTCGATAAATTAAAGTGAGTGTGACGACCTCGCAAACATTTCATAAAAGAGTCAGAATTGAAAGTAGGAAATAAAGTATAAGGAGTTGATGGAGGATCTGAATGGGCACTGGAAGAAGAATGATGCAAGACATATCAACAGCAACTATCCCAAGAAGAGAGGAGGGCATGAAACGAACTAGTGTGCAGATGGTTTCTCCGGTATGCCTTTTATACACAGCTTATTGTAGTTTTACTGTATTGAACTGCTATAGTACAGCTGAAAAAATACAGAAATTCCGTTGCTTCACGGAAAACCTTACCGGATCTCTTTCGGCTTCTCCTCTTCTGCAATTCTGCAATAGAACACCCACAGAAAGCAGTCGCAACTGCAGTGGAAGCAAGTTCAAATACTGCGTCTGGCGGAATAAGGCTTATTTTTTGCGCGTACGCGCCCTCAGGCAAAGGGAACATTGAATGAATAGTCCTTTATCGCCGCTGTTCGCCATGAGTGTCTCCCAAGGGTTGTGAGTTGCGGGTGGCACAATGCTTAGCTCCTAACGAAAGTTCAACCCACAGAGAGCGCTGTGTTCTTCGTCACTGAGGTTGTTCTGCTCCACTCATAGTTCTTATCGCGGCAACCCGCGAGTAGCTGAGATTTGGGTGAGACGAGAAAAAAGTGTATTTATATACATGTATGTTACTGACATCACTCTTATCATGAACCAGCTGTAGTTTTCTTTGACACAGAAAAGGCTCTACGCAATCAGAAGAAGAGGACGTCCAGATGTGCTCTTCCTTGGAATGTCGGTGAAAGTACCATACAGAAGTACCTTGGCAGCTGGCTATGGACGGCGCACGTGTGACTGTCACTCCTCAATATAAAGGACCTCAGAACCAAGCTGGCGCCAATCTCAGTCCTGACATTATCGTTGTGCCACTCTATACTTCTTCGTCTGAGTCTTGTGGCTTCTATGTATATGTATATCTGTGGTTTAATTACCCAAGTTTGAGGTTGAACTGTTCGAGTTCCACGCTGCAATAAATTGGTGGTATTTTATCGTGGTATCGTGTTGGCGCAAGGAAATCAACTATTTGGAGTTATACACTGAACCAAAACAAGAAGACTAAGAGACTCTCCTGACAACGACAGGTCAGTCCCTTAAAGTTCTCAAGACAACTTGGCTCAAAGGAAAATGGAAAGCGATTGTGAGTTTCGAGTGGCTCCAAATATGATGTCTTAGGTAAGATATACCTCCGTCATGGAAGAGGGGGAAAGGGCACAAGAAGATCAAATGTGTAGATATTGGAGAAAATAGGGATTCCACCTTCTTAGGGTACACCGCTTTCAGGAATAATGACATGTATTCATTATTATGAGGTAGACAGTTATCTACATATTTCTGATTTTGAGGATAAGCTTGGAAGTATTTTCATTTGAATTGAAAGGCCCCATGATCGCATGGACAGATTATAAAAAAACCAAAAAACAATCCTCTCGTCCAATGGCCGTTTCCATATGTACCCACAGTACAATGCCCTATGGGGATGTCGACATGCAAATGAAAACTTTTTGCTGAATCTTGTATGTTTGCTGAGGTTCTGCGATAGGTTTACAATCTGCACGATGTCGTAGAACGTCACCGCAAAGTAGACCTCTTCTACGGCTGTAGTTTCTGTAGCGAACTGGAGCTTCATCTTGTCCCTCTCAAAGAAGAGCTGCTATTCAAGAAGTTTTGAGTAAGCCAGGTCAGCCATAAGCTTGAGTTCGACATGTGGTTTCCGAGGAACATTTTGGTTTTTTCCTTTCAGGGATTCGGGGCGCAGGGAGAGGCGATGCTCCTGGATTAGTTTTCACAACACTTCCTACTGCTTTCTGTAGTGTGTGACTGAATCAAAAAAGGAAGGGTCGGAAGACAGTTATTGGCACTCCTTCATTACGCAACACTGCCTTTCTGTATTTTTTCAGCTGTGCGATAGTGGTTACATACAGAAAAACTGCAATCAGTTATGTATGGGGGACGGTACGAACGTGCGTCCGAGGGTGCGCGCGGCGAATTGCGCGGCAAAGTTCGTGACGATTTGAACGGCCCTGACGCCAATTTTTGGGGCACAAACTCGAAGTAGACTAATTAAGCAGGGTCAGATTATCCTTCTAGTCTACTTTACATCAAATTTGGGCCCCAATGACAGGCGCCGAACTCGTTCAAACCATCACGAACTTCGCCGCGCAATTTGCCGCGCGCATCCTCGGACGCACGTTCGTACACATACCCGTTATGTATAAAAGGCCTACTGGACGAGTCATCATGCACCCAAATTCATCCCTGCTCTCCTCTCATGTAGGAACGTTTGTGCTGATATGTCTTGGGGTCTTGGGACATTCTTCTTTCAGTACTCAATCAGATCCCCTCATCAATTCCTACAACCATATTTTCTTAAGCCTATTTCTTGGCTCACTCACTCAAACTTATTGAAATTTTTTATACGGTGCACCAATCATATATGTATAAATTCAAGAATTTCCGTCTTTTATCACACAAGAGTTCAGAATGGCATTTATACTCATCCTCCTTCTGGCCGCCAGTGTCACTGGGAAGTCTTTGGACCTCACAAAGGTTAACATCGACGATCTTTCACCTGACGCCCAGAAACCCATCTTCCCTGGTTCTCCTTCCGCTGAAGAGGATGAAGAGAACTTCTTTGAAGCAGACAGTGATGTTTTCGAAGAAGCAGACGATGGGCTTCCCGATGAAATGACTGATAATTCTTCCGATGGAACGAATGATGAGCCTTCTGATGAGGCGACATCTACCGAATCATCAGACGCCACCGAGACTACTAAAGAAGTTTCGAAGTGTGTGGACAAGTCAAAGTAAGATGTTGTTCCAAGTGAACTCATTTTTTTTTNTTTTTTTTTCTCAAAAAAATAGTAAGAAAATTTTTAGCTGCAAGTCTCTCGCTCGCGAAGGTTTTTGCAAGATGAACTTCCCGGATCGTATCAAGAAGGCCAGTTGTCCGGTAGCGTGCAACCTCTGCAATTGAATTCAGATTAATAAATTTGTTCATTTCGAAGAAGGTACATACAAAAATTATTCATTAACTGATGAAGTATAGAGATTGTCTGTAGTATAATTGGAGGTTCAAATTATGAACGAAGTTTCTTCTTCAACCTTCAAAAACTACTTGGTAACAAAGGCCCTGAGGCGAAAAAATATTCATAGAAGGATTTTCAACTTGATAAAGCAGCTGGGTTCACAATGTCGCATAGGTTATTTGATGTAACAGAACAGGAAGGAAAAGAAAAGGAGGTTAAGAAGAAGTTTGAGGAAATCAACGTCACGATAGCTCCATCGAGCAAAATGTTGGTTTATAACTCAAAGCTAGTTCAGATATACCAAAACATAAGAAAAAGAATACATTTGCTCAGTATCAGAAGGCCCTACGAGGGAACGCTTCCCGCATGAAAGTTCATGGACCTTCGCACGTTAGTGCATAGGGATCTGCTCTTCCGTGAAACGGAACATAAATTTGTGAGCATAAACTGTGCCTTTGGTACAGTTTTTGTAATATCTGCTCCAACTGATTTCAAACATCGCATCCTCGGACGCACGTAAGTACCCATACCCGTTCGCCGGCGCGCCGGTTGATGTAAAACGAATTAGTTCGTATGTAAAAAATCTACGTACGTTGCATTTTACTTCACTTAAGATCCCGTCAGAACCGTGAAATAAAATGCAACAGACGCAGATTCCTTACTTTAACAACGCCGAACTGATCGATGACCAAAGCCTGCTTCTAGTGTAGATATTCTTCTTCCTTACTCACATGATATTTTTCAGTTGTTCAGCTGGAAGATTTTGTTTAGCTGTTGGCAGCGGTCACTTCGCATCGCACGCCTCCCACCAGCTATCGTCAAAACTCTAGCTAGCTCTTCACACGGTACCTGCCGGAAGAAGAGCCTACTTCGTGGATGGCGAGGCTGTGTTGCTGTATAAAAAGGGAGACCCAGACGACATTGGCAACTACCGCCCAACCGGGAGACGGGCGTTAGGAACGATTTTGTGTAATCGATTTGCCGCACGCGGCCGTCGCGGACCGCTCATTTGCTGTTGTTACAGCTCTAGCGTCCTTCATACAGCTCAATCGATAAGCGATCATTATTTTATGCATAATTCTACTATTGGTACTTTGTTCTTGTATTTCTTACCTACTGCGGCATCCTGCTACATTCCTTCGCGCGCGACGCCCCTCTCACCGCGACGCGACCATTTCGTTCCTAACGCACCACACCCCCGCCTAACCTGCCTGCTGTCTGTAATCTACAAGCTTTTCACTCGCGTCATCGTGAACAGGATTGGGCAGGATATTAGATGAAGGACAGTCGTGCGAGCAAGCAGGGTTTCGGAGAGGGTTCAGTACCATCGATCGTTACAGCACTCTTAGAAATTTCACTGAAGTGTCGCGAGAGTATAGGATGCCAATGGGAAATATACCATAGGAATCATGTAACTCTCTGCGATTTTGTGTTACCTATTAGATTCAACCAAACCAATGCTACTTAGTTATTGAAAATTTTGTGGTGTGAACAATACTTCAAGACCAAATTCATTGTAACGATATATCGCTTACGTACAAAAAAGAAAGTGTAGATCGAGTTGTTTTCAGTTTTTCCTCAGTGGGCCGTCTGCAGCACGTCACTGGGCCTCAGCCGTTAGTTATGTCCAAGTAGTATTTTTTCGTAATATTCATGCTGGCAGTTTTTGAATAATTTATATCCTCTAAGGTGAGAAGTGGGAACTCATCCATGTTCGCTCCGTTCGAGAAGAATCGTTTGAGAACTGCTTGCTTTGAACATTTAGCCCTACATATTTTATCATGAACTGTTGTTGCTGCGCGATGTTTCGGAAGTGTAATTCATGTATTACTTCTTGGATTATGTTCCCGTATGATCAAGCTCCTTCTGATGATGGGTATATTATACGAGATTTATGTGGAGTGTCTGCATGCGTATCTTTTCAAGGGTACTTTAGTCGCGGAATTGTCTTTTATTTGTCAGTACTAGTACATTCCTGCTGGACGTCGAACACCTGGTGAACAAGCTGTGTGACCGATAGACAATGTAGGCACTTTGAATAGTAGTAATGAGCCCTAACACCCAGCCTTGCATCTTAAAATAGGCAGTTGATTTGATCCAAGCCTGACAGCCTGAAAATTTACAAAAGGTCAGTTGTCAATTTCTTTCTCAGGGTGTCTGAGTCAAATAATACTTTTTGAAGCTCTCCAGCTACACATCTTTTCAGATCCCCAGCCTAGTTGTCGATCGCATGTCGGCTTATCCTGCCTGCCTGTTTCATCAATGCTCGCGGCTGCGATCAACTTACCAACAATGAGGTCCTGTTCTCTGTAATGAACTGGTCATTGCGCGAACACCCAACCAATCATCTATCTCTCTTTCTCTTGAAACGACATCGTCATGTGCTGTAAGCGCTGGTAATGATTGATTATTTCAGTATGATATAGCTTATGAGTTATGTCGGTACATTGGGAATCATGAGCCACGATTGAAAAGACCGCATAGTTTTCAAGTCGTTCCCTTCTAGGATGCAAACTTCGTTTTGATAAGCATAAGAAAATGAAAAAGTGATTGAAGTAAGATGAAGAGCAGCTCGTTCCGCCTGATCACAAGACGAGCCACCGTCTAAGAATTCCTCTGAAGCTCATGGGGAGGGCGAGCAGACGTAGAGAATGGTTCAAGTTATGTCGTTAAATGTAATTGAGAGTAGGAGGGAGTTAGGAGTTATACTAACAGAGATGCTTTTATTGAACATTTTTGTTATCCCATCAACCAAGTTGGTGATGTTACTGGGATATCTTTAACAGAAAACCTTTTAGCATATAAATTTAGTTATATAAATGCACGTAATTATTATACACTAATTGCTGTATTATATAAACTAGTTATTGCTATTATTAATACTGAAGTTATATACTGAATTTATCACTAGTTATTGCTATTATTAATGCCTAAATGAATGCTATCCCTTGCTCGAATGTGCCCTTTTGAGTTTAAGTATGTCTTTATATCTCAGAGGGAACTACTCTTCAATAATTGATTCGGCTTGGTCATGTACTGTTTATAACTCATGTTAAGGAGTGTAGCTGCAAGAGTCATCACAGGGTCCGGAATCTTCTCCCCGAAGACGGCGTCGCGCACGCCGCACCCGCCGCGCATCGCAGGATTGCGATGCAAGATTGGAGCGCGCAATTTGTGAGGTAGGGAGTCCTTTAATTATTCGAACTGGCTGGCCGCTCCCTTCAATTCCAATGCGGTCTTGATTGTCGCTAATATAGGAGGAGTAATTCTAATTAAACATGTCTAATAAATATAAAAACAAGAAAAAGAAAGCGAAAAAACGACTAAAGCTAGTAAAAAAGGGAGGCAATCGACGAAAAATATTCCGTCATATCGACTGGCAGGGAGGCGGGGTCAGTACGGTAATTGCAGTGACATTTGCCGCATGCTGCAAGGGAGAATGCCGTGATCGGGGAGAAGTTCCGTTACCCGGCATCACACACATATAGTCGGCAATTGATACTCCAGGCCAACTACCACTTCTATCACCTCGGCGTCGGCTGACTGGTATCAAACATGTCATGAGAATGAAGGTAATGACTTGTTAATCGGTTGACTACCGTAAGCTATTGTATAGACCATATACGCCACTACGACCGAATAGGTGTTGGATGCGGGATTGAAAAAGGTCGATTAATTTTTGGATTCCAGTAATCGGCTACATAAATCTGTATAGAATATACAGCTTATTCTTTTGCACCTGACTTATGACATAGTTACCACCCCTCTTCACGGAATCCTAGAGACGTCCAAGTATTATACTAGGTTGATGCATAATTATTGCGGATTTTTTCCTCTCGATAGAATTTGAATAATGAGTTTGGGTTTTTTCTAGAAATGATCTACTTAATTTCCTCTACAAGAATATACTCAAAAAACCATCCGCATATTCGCAAAATTAGGCTTTACTACTTCGAGAAAGATTGG